TCCGCCAAACTTTGAATAGGCTATTCTAAACACGCGCTGGGGAGTCGTGTAGGCCTGTCAACCCCCTTTTTACATTGTTTACATCAGAATTTTCTTGAAAAACTTTGGCAGCAAACCATTTTCCATGATCGATTGCCGGATCAAGGGTGTGATAATTCCCGCATCTCACACAGTCTGTACAAGATCTTCTCGTTTACCGCTTAATTTTAAGCCCCTACATTTTAACCACCGTTTTAGCTGGTCTACAATGTATTCTTCCGGTTCTCTTTCAAATTTGGAGCCAGGAACGCCGTCCTCTTCGGTCAGAACTGTAAGAGAATAAGCGAACTACTCGCCATTTCCCTTGTAGCTCTCAAAGAAGTGGAGTTTGTTTGTCTGAGTCATGCGGGGGGTCTAAAATTTCATGACGTCATTAGTATAAAGCTCTATTGAGCTAACAAGCCAACTGGGAGCAGGTCATCAGACATACACCCGTAAGATGATAAATCAAACACAACGAATATATGAAATTCATATATCTGAACTGCGGTTATAGAAACGTATTTGTGCACGATCCTCGCAGTAAAGAGCACTATTAGCAATAGTGAAAATCAGATATATGAATTTCGTATATTCGTTGTTTGATTTATCATCGAATATGTCAAGTTAATTTAATGGTCTGCTCCCAGTTGGCTAGTTAGCTCAATTGGTAGAGCGCTGCACTAGCATCGCAGAGGTCAGTGGTTCGAATCCCGTACAGGCCTGAATTTTTTCTGGTCTGATTTTCACTATTGCTTAAATAGTGCTCTTTACTGCGAGGATCGTGCACAAATACGTTTCTATAACCGCAGTTCAGATTTATGAATTTCATATATTCGTTGTGTTTGAAAAAGGTTATTTATGAATAAGGATCCCTATGGGTAAAGTCTCTTATGGATAAGGCTCCTTTTACTGCAAACCACAGTCCCAATGCTTTATGGATGTAAAATTGTAAAATGGCCACGAAGGCTCTTTGTAGTTCCTCAAGCGTCTTAAGGAATTTTTTTTGATCACGCAAACAAGAATTCGCTAACTTCAAAGACTTTGTGTACTGATTTGGGTTATTCTCATGTTTGCAAAATGATTACCACGTTGTTCTACTGGATCATGTAATTTTTTTTTTAACAATTTTAAAATTCCTTTACGCGCGAAAGACCATAATCAACTAATGATGGTAAGGCAAACACCTCTGATAACATATTAGACCAAGATAGTCTTACCTTTGTTTTGCAGGAGAAGATGGCCGTTTTGGACTCCTACAAAAGGAAAGCGAAGATTACCACTTCAATGTTGAATTCGTTGGAAGGAGTGACGTGTAATGAAGTGACTGGTGCCCTGTATGCTTTCCCCAGAGTTCGTCTTCCACAAAAAGCTGTCGAGGAAGCCAAGGTGAGGAGTTGAGTTATGGATTTGACGACGAGTTTAGTTATTATTATTATTATTATTATTATTATTATTATTATTATCACTATTATTATTACTAATCCTTTTTTTTTTTAGATTATCTGTTAGTCGACATTTTCAGGTATTGTTCGATTTTTAAGGATTTTATCTTAATTTGTTTGTAAATATTTTTGACGATTAGAGTGAATTATTGTTATCATAGTGTGTATCATCTAGTTTTTCTTACATTTTTATTAGATATTTTAACACATTTTTTCCACTTTCAAACATTTTATCATAATGTTTATAATTTTTTGTGATTATGGTGAATAAAGGATTATATTCATTATTATTACTATTATTATTATTAATATTATAACTATTATTATTATTTTTATTATTATATGCGTTCTGGTGATGTGAGGGTGTGGGTCAGTGTTTGGCATTCCATCAAATTGTGGACACTATTTTCTCATTTGCCGAACTAAAGAAAAGATCAGATTGATATAACATGTAAGCGCCGTTAACGACACTTTCCAGCATAGTCTGTGCACAATCCATCTTTCCTTACTTTTCGAGTAATCTTGGTTCCCATTAGTGGGAAGAGAATTGTTATGATAACATCATTTCTATTTATTAAAATCATTTCCGTTTCTCTTTAGCGTAATAACCTTAACCCAGACCAGTTCTACTGCTGGCAGATGTTGGAAACAACTGGAATAGTTCCCATTCCTGGAATTAATTATGGACAAAAGGAAGGAACATACCATTTTAGGTCAGTTTTATATTTCTTAGTTATCCACGAGATGAGCAGCCCAAAATACTATTATGGCAACACTGCTCTACAAGACAGAAATTGCCAGTTTTCCATCGCTCTCATTTGACTTGTGAATATCTTTTTTTTTTCCTTAAAAATATGATGGTAAACATATTTGGAATTTCCCATTTCAGTCTATCGTGCCCGGCTAGTCAATCAGTGAGAAAACGTCGTCACGAAATTGCTACATATCAACAAACTGAATTTGACGGGTTCTCGTATCGTTAAATATTCGCTAACACGCCATTCCAGGCTGCCCCTTTTTTGTTAATGTTCTTGAGCTCTAAAATAATGAGGGTCCACATTAGGGGTTCTCAAATCCCGCTTTCCCGCCTTTTTTTCTTCTCAATCCCGCCATTCCGCCCCTTTTTACGCCCGGATCCTGATCCCGCCCCATTTTTTTACGAGATTTTTGACATGTTTTGCTTGATCATTGAAATAGGGGTTATGACTTACCTTCTACAGTTGTCAGTTTTGATGGTCCAGGTTCTCAACATCACAATTAGTGACCATAACTTTCTTTTCTGTTTTGCTTAATTATTTTTTGGTCCTCGCATCGGTACATGTTTACCTCGATACTTTAAGTCCAGTATTCTTGGAATTAGATAGATTGATGTTATCTGTCTGTCTTACGAAGATTCAACTGCTTTGCTGCTAGTTTCCATCAGGCACCAGAGCGCTGCACTAGTATCGCAGAGGTCAGTGGTTCGAATCCCGTACAGGCTTGATTTTTTTCAGGTCTGATTTTCGCTATTGCATAAATAGCGCTCTCTACTGCGTGGATCGTGCATCATGCGTATCTATAACCGCAGTTCAAAATATATGAACTTCATATATTCATTGTATCTGATTTATCACTTTCACGGGTTTACTACGAATCCACTTAATGGTCTGCTCCCAGTTGGCTTGTTAGCTCAATTGGTAGAGCGCTGCACTAGTATCGCAGAGGTCAGTGGTTCGAATCCCGTACAGGCCTGATTTTTTTCAGGTCTGATTTTCGCTATTGGATAAATAGCGCTCTCTACTGCGTGGATCGTGCATCATATGTTTACGTTGAGTTTAGGACATGGAAATTGTATATAAACACACTGGTCTCTTTCAAGAAAACATAAAACTGCTATTAAATCTAACAGCACGACCAAATGCGGACACCCTTCCAAGCAGGAAGTTTGCTTCACTATCCAAAGTGGCGACCCTTACAGATCCTTCTCCTACTTGGTCTTCGGTTACTTCTTCTTCCGCACTGCTACTTGTATCATATTCGTCAGGAAGGCCGACATCTCCTGTTAGGTCAACGCTTTCCCCTGGCACAATGTCTTTCTCGTACAAGAAATCGGGGAGCGTTACAACCTTAGCCATGGTCGTTTCTTGTCGGCCGGTTCTTTAACGAACTGCAGCCCTAAAGGTATGTGCCCATTCCCTCGTAAGCTGGGCGTCTTGGGCACGTACTACCCCAGGTGGAAGTTGTGGTGCTAATGAAATTTCAATGAGTGAGTGCCGCTGCGCGGTCTAGAACGGGATACCACGACTTTGGGTTGGTATAATAAAATGCCGCCCAGTTTGTTGTCTTCTTTATACTTTCCTTGACAGCCTTTCCGAAATTCCTGGCATATTCAAGGGCAGTGCATAAAGGTGATTTCTGATGGACCGCAGAGTGACAGTTCTCTACATCTAATGTCGTGCAGCTCAGGAGGTTGGTCCAAGTATAACCCATTGGCGCTAACAGGTCATAAAGTCTCTGAGGGCCAGACTGCAACAATGAAACAGACTCTGTTGTCTTCTCAGCCACATTTCCCTGTGGTCCATTAAGGGACCTTGGCAAGCTTTGGATTTCACCGCGAATCAAGGCCTAGTTTCGGCGAAGATATTGCAACGTTTCTTTAAGCAGTGTAACGGCATCTTGTAGATTGCAAAGCTGGTACTTTGCATGCTTCTCGTGGACGGAGAAAGCCTTGTATATCTTTCTGACTGCATCTAGAAATGCAGCGGTTTCATGCAGAGTGGTGAATATATACAAGACATGGTCAAATGCCACACAAAAGTCCAGCAGGTTGGTAGAATTCAGCATGCGAAGCCAAGCCATCTCTGGTGCCCTCTGCACCGGTACCTGCAAACACCTTCACTCTTTCCTCATTTCTGATCCAGTGCAGGATGCGATGCGATTGCGGATCTGGATAGACCAAACCATCTTTGTAAACCGCAATGGAGGGAGCCAAGAAACAGTGGTCTGGACCGGAAGGAATGATCCGTGCTCTTAAATATGTTGATAATGAAACTTTCTCGATGCCTTGACGGTGAGAAATATAAATGTCAATATTTAAGATGGCCATCGATCAGACGTTTCCCCATTCGTTTTGGTGCTCTACAACTGCTGCTGCCTCTCCTCGAAGCCCACATCCGTCGCTGGAGCAGGTAACGGCAAAAATTTGCTGCTTGCTTTTACAAGCTGCGTAGATCATATAGGGATCTACGACGTGTAGTGCCTCAAACTAAGATTCCTCGCCGGAGCTATTCCAGAAATTGATAGCAGTAGGAGAAAGCCCTCTTTCTTGGTATTCTGCCTCGATCTTCTTAACTTGCGTGGCGATTCGATTCTTTAATATTGCCACGGTTCCATTAGCAGATAGTCCAAGCTCACTGGCTTTCTGAATACATCTTCTCGTGGACGCAGTTTTCCTAAGCTAACACGCACGGCCCCTTGTTCTAGCTCATAAAAAATAATGGGGCCTCCTTTCCCAACCATGAATACAATGTCATTGACGTGGTGGACTACTTTGGCGAGAAAATCTTCTTTAAGCTTTACAATTTTTTTGACGGGGTTATGAAGTTGTGCCATAAAAAGACTCGATAAACCAGTGACTGTGTTAAGTGAGAGAAATAACAGGCTTCCGTAGGGACCAGTAGCGATGCTTAAAGGGTTTGGGTACATACCCACTTTGTTGTGCTCTGTGAAATGGTCAATCTCGGGAATGCTGGTGTGGCCAACAAAGTCTAGACTTCTAAGATAGCTAGTAAAATCTGGATTTGTGAGCTTCATGACAGAAGTTGGATCCTGTCAACAAAACAGGAATGAGTATACAAAAAGGCGGTAGACACACTTAAGAACCATTTATTTTTCAGTCGACGCTAATGAATTTTTGGTCAAGACAGAACTAAATTCCCGTATCCCACTATTTTTTCCTTGCGATTCCCGAATCCCATCCCCATAAAAACAGGAAATTCCGCTCCCGCTGGTTGTTAAAAATCCCGCATCCCGCTTCTGTTTTCAGCTCATATCCCGAATATCACCACGAAAAATAGCCAAATCCCGTATCCCGCCAAACCTATTGTGGACCCTCAATAATCTGAGTTTGTAACTAGTTGCAGTTGTTATACAGTTTGCAATCACAGGCCTGCTACTTTTCCATTTGTTTTGCTCCTATTTTTTCTACTACAGATTAACAATTCTACCCTCTGAAGAAAAAGTTGTTCCTATGTACGAAAGGCTCAGCAAGTTTCACAAGGAATTCATGAACAAGTACAAGGACGACTAATTAACAATTATTCCACAAGCGCGCGTTGGATATGAGATGATAGATAGCCAACGAGGCGCGTAGCGCCGAGTTGGCTATAATTATCTCATATCCAACAAGCGAGAGTGGAATAATTGTTTTATTAAAAAAACGCCCCCAAGATATTAGACAAATCTTCTCGACTTTATTTTGTGAGAAGAAACCGGATTGAACAATGTACAGAAATTAGATTATGGTATATTGGCTCATATACCATAATGGCTGAGCCAATAAAAAGTCTTGAATTGCATTATCCAATGATCCAGCTTTTAGTAATAATAGTTATTTAAAGGCTCGGTTTTTTTTTTGGTTTTTACCTACTTCTTTTTTCATGCACTTCGACTTTCAATCCACCAGTTCAAAGAATATTATACCTCACAGGCACTTACTCAGTGCCTTCAGTAAGCACCGACGGCCGACGAAAAGCGTCGGCTACTTCGCTCAGAGAAGTCGGCTACATTTTCCCTAAATTTAAATAATTAAAGAAATATTCTTTGAAAACTAAATGAAAATTCATTTTCATGGGTTTGTATGAACTTTTTACCTCAATTTCAAAATTAAATATCGAAAGATCGGACGCGACTCGTTGGTCACGGCACTCGACTCTTTTTGGGGTGGTGTTAGGACGCAAGAGGTTTACGAAAAATTTAATTGCGTGCAAAGTATGGAATCTAGTTAGCGTCATTTGTTTATCGTGTTCAGGAGTTCATTGTGGCCTGATAAATCGAACCTTGAATGAAAGCTGCATTTTCTTGAATGACAACCATGTCAGCCTGCCTCATGGTATTACGAAAAGAACAGAACGAAAACAAATCAGACGCTCATTTAAGCGCATTATCAGTTTTTTCCACTCGCATTTGAAGTCTGAGTTAAAAGCTACAGCTAATTGTTCTTATCACGGTTTCTGGCGCCTGTCTGGCGGGTGTCCTGGTGGGTAGGCAGAGAAGCTTGGAATGTTTATCACCCGCGAACTGTTTATAGGTTCGCGAGTTAAAAACAAAGACAAATGGATGAAAGATAAAAATGCAACTGGACGCTTTCTTACCGGTAGTAAGTGATTCTGTTTAGCTCCATTGTTTTTTAGTGACAATGACCTTAAACTTCCAGAAAATGCATGCAAACTTCCATTTTCAGCTTATTATTATTGTAAAAATAAAAAAAAATGTTGCTGTTGATAGGGAGTTTTCCTTTATCTTTTGCACTCATTTAGGTCTCCAGAACGCCAGAAATGGCATTTCAGAGCTTCCAGATGTCAAAATTTTCTGGGGGGACATGCCCCCAGACCCCCCTAGATTAAGGGGCCTGACGGCCCCTTGTTGGTACGGTCGGTTACTCTCACTGACTAGCTGCCTACTTAAAATTTTAATGAAACCCCTGAACTTACTAAGTTTTTACAGCATTCTTGTACACGTTGCACATAGCAAAGTGTGTGACATGCACATAGGTCATCGATATATGTGTATCTGTTAGTCTAACAACAATTCTATCTTTTTGAAGAAGGTAATTGGTTTGAAGTTAAACCTCGGAGTAACAATCGTGTAATACGGTCATCCGCTTCAGGAAAGACTCCTGAAAAGGACTGTTGTAGTGGCGCATCCACAGGGAGGGTCTCACTTAGGCGGCCGTCACCACCAAAAATACAAGGATGTCAAATAGATCAGTAAATACAAAAGATGGTTTAAGGATCAGCTGCAGGATAAGATAGCTAATAAGGGAATGGCATGGCCAAATTAAAGACAGTGTAGGTTTCCTTCATGAGACAGAACACCCTAAACACAAATAGTTTAGCCAAATGATAAACGGTCTAGTTGCCCATGTCGATTTGGAACATGAAATTGTGAAATGGACCAGCTAAATTGCGAATAGCCTAGCACTCATTTGCGATACAGTCCACAAACGGTATAGCGTTGCGTCAAATGACTCAGGGTAGTAATCGAGTAGCACAGCGTACGCACAAACGGTGTAGCGTTGCGTGAAATGGCTCAGCGTAATGTCGAATGGTACAGCGTACATACAAACAGTGTAGCTTTGCGTGAAAAGGTTCAGCGTAATGTGGAATGGTACAGCGTACACACAAATGGTGTAGCGTTGCGTGAAATGGCGCAGCGTTATGTTGAATGGTACAGCGTACATACAAACAGCGTAGCGTTGCGTGAAATGGCTCAGCGTAATGTCAAATGGTACAGGGTACAGATAAATGGTGTAGCGTTACGTGAAATGGCTGAGCGTTCTTTTGAATGGTACAGCGTACATACAAACAGCGTAGCGTTGCGTGAAATGGATCAGCGTAATGTCAAATAGTACAGCGTACTCCCAAATAGTGTAGCGTTGCGTGAAATGCCTCAGCGTTATGTTGAATGATACAGCGTACATACAAACGGCGTAGCGTTGCATGAAATACCTCAGCGTTATGTCAAATGGTACAGCGTACACACAAATGCTGTAGCGTTGCGTGAAATGGCTCTGCGTAATGTCAAATGGTACAGCGTACACAAAAATAGTGTAGCGTTGCGTGAAATGCCTCTGCTTTATGTTGAATGGTACAGCGTACAAACAAACAGCGAAGTGTTGCATGAAATACCTCAGCATTGGCCCGTGCGACGAAATAACTTCACGGGATTGGTAAAGTTTCAGTCACAGCAAATTATGCAAATAATCTAGAAAGATTTAAGCTTAAATCTTGTTTAACGTTTAAAGCGACATATAATGACTGCAACCATCGTGTTGTATATAAACCTCGCAAACTTTAAAACACGTTCTCTAGTGATACCTGCGAAAGTATTCAGTATAATATCCGGTAAGATTTTCGCGGACAATCTGATCGATTTCTCTTACATTGTGTGCTCAGACTGAAACTTTTCACCTCAGGCAAATCTCCGTCGCACGGCCCAAACAAACATAGCGAGCAACTGAGCAATTAGTATTTGTCCGTGTTACAACACACGAAAGGACTCCAAAGCACACTTAACTCTGATTGGGCAGAAAAACAAAGATTTTCTGGCACCAATCAGATGGCAGAATGACTGCGACCGTTTGGAACTAGTCTTGCAAGACAATGTCCCCAGGGGCTCTTCATGCCCTAATTTGAAATCGACCCACAGCCCCTGGGTCTCAGAGGATGCAATTAGCCTTACCGTAGAGCAGAGGCAATTTGGTAAGTTTCTCCTCTTTTTTGCCTTGCCGATATTGCATTTATTCGTTGTCTTTCCAAAAAGTGTGTCGGGAAATTCTGATATTTGAAAAATTTGTCCTTCTCGGAAATACGAATGACCTCAAGAGTGAGAAAGATAGCTCAGATAGCTTGTTCTTAGCAACGTGGTAATTGATCATGAACTTAATCATTTGTTCTGTTCTCCTTGTTATCTCGCAAAGGTACGTAATATCGATTGTGATGTTAATTTCCTTCCGCAGGGATCAAACGGCATTCATCGCTAAAGCTGCGTTAAGTGTTGTCACATCGTTTATCCTTTACGATTGCTACCATTTAGTTTTGTCTGTCTTTGATATGGAGATTCTCACCGAAGGAAGCATTAACCCAGCGTTCAAGAGAGTGAAGTATGGAGTGCGAGGATGGCTGGAAGGTCGCTCATATGAAATTCAACAAGAGCTTGCTCGTGTGAGTAAAGTTATGATATATAATATATGCAGTAAATATGTATTAGTATCAATCATGGACTTGTAAAATTTTGATGGACAATTGGATAGTAAACACAGAATTCTCAACTGTACACTCTGATACGAACGTTTCGACCGTAGACGACATTTTAGTCTCTAATAATATTTGGATTTAACAGTGGTGGCTTTGCGTGCGCGCTCGCTTAAACGTGGCGAATTAACAGCAAAGGACTTTCCTGTTATTACAGTGAAACCTCGATTTGACGAAGTCCCAAGGGACTGTGTAAATTGGTTCGTTGTATCGAGAGTCCTTCATATCGAAAACCCTGATTAGGATACCCGTCCACCTCATTTATATGTGTCGGCAGGCTTTGAAAAATGAGGCCTAACACAATAGACGCTATACTTATTTAATGACATGTAAATGACTGGCCGGGTATTCTGAAGTTTAGCCAACCCTGATTTAACAACTTCGCGGAAAAACAACCAAAATGTTCGTTATTGGGAGGTATTGGTGTGTGTGTGTGTGTGTGTGTGTGTGTGTGTGTGTGTGTGTGTGTGTGTGTATGTGTGTGTGTGTGTGTGTGTGTGTGTGTGTGTGGTGTAACGTTATGTCTGTATGAAGCTACAGCACAGTCATATGTCATAATGAAAACGTTAATGAATAGCGCAACCGAACAAAACAACTAAACAAAAGAAAACCACTTTACTCTACTACTAAAATTGCTAATCAAGCCGCCCAATCAAAACTTCTTCCAATGAAGAACAAACTGGGGCAAACAACGTTTTACGTATCAGAGCGTCGTAGACTGGAACTCTTTAAGTCAAGATATACGTGACACCGCTGTACTTTCTTACTTTACTCTAAGCTTAAACATGCATTTTAGTTAAACATGCATTGTTGACTAGAAGTAGGTTACTTTTCTTATCTAGTTCGAGCTCAGCTTTTTTAATTTTTATTGTAATTCTTTTGCTGCATATGCAGGGCCTCATTGAAGAGCACCTATTGGTGAAGTGGGCTCCCTGTTAAAATATTGTTAATATTATTATTATTATTATTATTATTATTATTATTATTAAAATTGTCTCATTTTTTGTCATTCTTTACTTTACCACTAAAACTGCTTATCAAGACTCTTAATGGAAAAAATTTTTAATCGCCTCATATTATGTTGTTGGGGATAGCACAAAACTTCGACGCGTTATCCGTAATATTCCTTTAATTTTCGACCATCACAATTGATAGTATGAACATGTCATGAAAAATCGGTTACAAGACGATGAAAAATTTTGAGCGAACCAAACGATTAAAAGAAGAGTTTAAAGCCCGCAAGAGCTCGTCGATAACACGTGTGAGAAGCTACAGTCCAAAAAAACATGTGACCAAACTCTACCTCGTGTATATGTACCGAAACGTAACGCAACAAAAAAAAACAAGAATAAAGGAAAAACGTCACGGACTAGGTTTAACAAAATATATGTCTTTCGTAAAAATGTTTTTCATCCAAGAGAAGGCGCGCGGAAATTCCCTTTCTTTTCTGCCTGACTTGTCAAATTTCATTATGAACATGAACAGTGTGTACAGTATTAAACAACAGAACGCTACCGTATAGTACTGCACCATTGGTCTGTTTCGCATTTGTCTTTGGTCACGTGTTGACATTTGTTGGTTATATCGGGATATCTGTATAAGTTCGGGCTTCTAAATTGTGTTCGATACAACGAAGATTTCGTTATATCAAGGTACGTTATGTCGAGGTTTTGTCGCATACATTTTACTGTAACTTAAGCCGGGCAGAAAAGTATTGTTCGTTATACCGTGGACTTCGTTATATAGAGGTTCGTTAAATCGAGGTTCTACTGTATGTTAATAATAGATAACATTAATCCAAGCTTTGCACTGAGGAAACAAGCCCTAAGTTTTACAAGTGAACTGGTAAAATTGTGTTGGCGCACTTTTCCTGATGGGTGCGGAATGTATGGGTTACCGTTAAATTTTTTTCTAGTGTAACGGGAAACTTTAGGGATTTTTCCGTGTGGTTGTTTAAACATATTTATTCGTTGTTTTCGGTTTTTTTAGCCGTTCTCAATTCATGCGAGTTTCTTTCATTGTGATGTTTTAAAAAGATAAAAAGCCACAGTAGTTTTTGAATAATTTGGATATATCAACAAAGTTGAAATGGTAAATTGGCCACCGTAATGATTACAAAAGCTGACGTTTCGAGCGTTAGCCCTTCGTCGGAGCGAATAGTCAACTTAGGTTATACAGCTGCATCTCGGTACTTTTGTTGTTCATTACTAGTAAAATTTTAGATAAATGTAAGTTTTAATGGTCTTTCTTGTAAAATTGGTTCTCATGGTAGTTGGCAGCTGAGTTTACACTCGTAATTTTAATTAGCCTTCATACAATCAAACTTAACACAACCTTGCATTGATAAGCAGAAATTTTCAATTGCTTTTTCACTTTTATTTTCAAAGCTGTTCTATCGTAATGAAGATAAGCTTTTTAATTTCGATGTTGTGAGTTTGATTTCCGTTCTCTGATTAGTTAGTGCATTCTGCACATCCAGGATATTAAGTAGGATTCGTTTAACTTCAAAGAGACCTTTTTCCGCTCTTTTGTGTTCTTATTCAAATATCGTAAATATCGTAGGACCACGCGCTCGGTAGTACTTAAGCAAGTACGTTGTAAAGTGTAGTTGATTACATCCGAGTCCTTAATTACATACTTGATTACATCGGCTAAGTTTAAGACGCTAGAAGTCATGTCAGTTGTTGGCCTGACCTAGAACAAAAGTTACTGTGGAGCCAAAACGCTGTCTCATCCTTGACATCCGTAAAGCTCGCTTGAGGTAGATCGCCATGTACCAGGAAAACGTAACGAGTTTCCGTTCTCGCTGCCGAATCGTCTCTAACGAGTCGTCTCTACTTAGCCAGTCTCCATTTCTTTTAGGCATCGTTCTTTGCCACGAGAAGTTTCCATATGCCTATTCCATTCGTTCCGCCTGCACGATCCACAGCCGAAAACTGAACAATTTTCGCCTGGCATGATAACAAATTATCTATCTTCGATATTAGTTACTTAAAATTATCCAAACAGGAGATCTTATCGCACATCGGACGCCATATTCTTGAAAATGCTGTGCAGGATCAACACCACGTGACCACGAAAAAACTAGGACAATAACATACTTCTTTGAAGTTCGCCGGCTTTCCTAACCAGTCCCCCTCTACTAACTATGTCTCTACCAAGCAAGTTTCCCCCATTGTTGTTGTGCCTTCCGCGAAAGTTCAGTATGTGCGCGAAAATTTATCGTCACACTAGATATATCATTATTCTGGTTTCTTTGTTTCGTGTTCGCTTTGCCAGGGAGCTGAGAAGCCATTTTCTGAAGTTCTGATACACTATGGAAATCCACAAGGAATGGGACAGCCACCGATTACATTTTTTAGACAGGTGATCTGTGACAAACTTTGTAAATGCAAGTGAATGATTGATGGGTCAGGAACAACTGTCTGATCAACTGTATAAAGTGGGTAAGTTTCTAAAGAAACTGTGGTGCTGCGTCGTTAGGGGTAACAAAGTAATTTGGGTATATCAACTATGTTGAAAGAGTTAAGAAGCTGACGTTTCGAGCGTTAACCCTTCGTCTGACCAACTGTCTGACAGCTCTGACTCAAAATGATTGGCTGAATCAGAGCGGAAAAATGACTAAAACAATGTGAATGACAGACTTACTGACCGTGACTGACTGACAGGTAATGATTGATTGACACCCCGACAGATTGACTGGAAAACTGACGCTGATTGACTGACTGACTAAGTGACGACGATTGACTGGCAAAGACCGACTAACCAACACCGATTGACAATCATTTACAATGACTGACTCTCTGACAATAACTGATAAATTGACAATGACGGATTAACAGACAATGACTCATTAACTCGAGCTGACATACACAGTGACAGACAGCTGAAAGAACTTAACAACTGCGTAGCTTAGTGACTGACGGATTAAGTGAATGACTGAATTTACCACAGAGATGAATATTTGGATAACTGGATGGACGAACACAGAGAATTATGCCGGAGTTGGCTTCGACGTTGAGTCAAACAACTCTGTAGCGAAACGACCGCAATGCGAATTACCCAGATTTTAGTGGAAATAGAGGATAAATCACGTAAATTAAAAGATTCAGACAGACCAACCACAAGTAAAAATGAATCCGTAATCCTGACTGAAATGAAATACATTCAACTTGGCCCGTGGATTGAAATTCAAATAAAGTCATGACTGCCACAGCTACTAACTATATGATTGTGACACAGGTTTTGGCACTTCTTTTGTGTCCTGACCTTCAAAATGATGAACGTTTCCCACAAGATGCCAAAAGAAGGGCGAAAAGAATTCTTGATGACATGATAGGACACACTGTGGGTAATACGCAGTTTATAATTATAGTAATGGCGACAGGTATAGATCCTCTCCTTTGTATTTGACTGGCATATTAGAATTAGTACCCCCGCATGGATCCTGGCCTTTGTATAATTCTACCAGATAAGATATAGGAACACAACATGCCTGACATCCATTTTCCATATGTGGCATGTCATATACAGCCGCAATGCATTTAGCTTCAAAGCTACTCAGGGAATTCGAAGGTAGCGAAATATAGTACACATAAAAAATCACCAAAGTGTGTATGCCCAGTTCGTTACCACAGCAAACAGTAATCTTAGAATATTGTGTACAGCACCTCCGTAAACGTATTTTTTCCAATGGAGAGGGGGAGGGAAGGCGAGGCGGGGCTGGCTTGCACTGTGTCCACGATTTCTGTGTCCGCCTTCCTCTGAATTTATTTGGATCCGCCCTCATCCCTGAAACTTACATTTTCAGAACAGTGCTGATAAAATTTGTAACAGAAACGCTTTGATTCTTTTACAGGTAGTTATACTGCAACTCAAGGGATTAATGTCGTGCGTGAAGACATCGCCAATTTCATCTCGCAGAGAGATGGTCATCCAGCAGTAGCAGATGATATATATCTCACTGATGGAGGGGCCGAGGGACTTGAAGTAAGAGAGATACTCAAGAGGCACCTGAGGGTATTTTGGGTGTGGTGTACCGTAAAACTCTGACCTTAACTAAGGCATATTCTGTGGTCTAATTACAAACAATCAGATAAATTATCGTACATCAAATATCGTGCCCACGCATACTATATTGATACAGACTTTCAAGAATAAGATTTAAGACAATTGGTTATTACCGTACATGTGCATTGTGCCTTGAAGGCAACATTCACACCCTCCAGAGGTTTCCAGTTCAGAGATCCACCCTGTCCAAACTAAATGGTAACATTTTCTACCCTTTTAGCGCTCAAGAAACCGAAGGCCTTGTTTGGTTTGGCGGCGCAGCCAATGAAAGAAGTCCCTCACCTTAAGAGTGAAATATTGAACCAATCAGGGGATTTTCCCAAAATTTTTCATTTTGTGTTGGTTGTCGTAGGAGTTAATAAACCAAGATGCGGACAATTTTCCCGAAATAACGTGCTGTATAAAACACATCTCTAATAAAAAAAAGTGTGATTTTGGGAAAATTATCTGACGTGCCTTTTAAATGTCAGTTGGGTTTTACTCCTTTTTTTTTTATTGCCCCTATGGCTGAGAGAATAGATCCCCTCACGTGAGTCCGATGTCTGTAACCGATTGGTTGTGTCCTAACCGATTGTTCACGAGCAAGGTCAGTACAGTTAAGGAAGTATACTGTTCACCAAAAGTATTATAGGAGCATGATACAATCTCAAATGATTTTCATAAGGTGATGTTGGGAATTGTTCAAATTGAGAGTCATGAAGAAACAGGTCGTGCTGGAGTGATGATTCCTGTACCAGGCTTCAGTATGTACCAAGCCAGACTGCTACAACACAACTCGTACCAGGTACTGACCGTGCAACAGAACGTTTAGTAGTTTTTTGAGAAAGATCTGCATTCAAATGGTGTTTGAAGGTTTCTAGCGTCCTCTTTACGTGTACGACCGACGTCCGTCCAAAAAAAAAAAAAAACACCGATGCACACAAAAACTCCTGATATTTATTTAAGGCTTTCAGCAATGACAACGAACTCACAAGTTTTCCCATGAATGGAAAAAGTGCTACTGTGCATGTAGTATTTGCTTTCAATAATTAACGCATTTCAGAAATGCGACTTAACATGGAGCTAACTAAACTTTTAGCATTGCTTAAGTTTTAATTTTTGTTTCGAGTATCCTTTGAGTTTAACACTTTCTGAGGACCAGTGTGGTATTAACAGGCTTAGTCTGATTCAGTTTGCGCTGAAGAGTTTAGTTACCAGACTACTAAAAACCAAAACGCGTCAAACGCAAAATGAATGAGACTCACCTTCAAAGGCCCTGAAATTTCTTACTGGACGTGAAATTCTTCACCTTTTCTTGTAAAATGTCATGTAATTGAACATTACATGAACAACTACTTTCGCGAGCAATGTGTTGCCCGCGGTTTCATTCGGGCCCCATTTTCACCAAAAGTGTAGGTGACGTCACACCTTTGGGAAAATGTGATTGGTTACTTGCAACAGCTTTACTTCTCTAATATGTGTCATTATGACTCATTGCTTAATACATTTTCATGCACTATACAGATATTTTACCCTCTCGATGAAGATAACAACTGGGCTTTGAACATGGCTACACTCGAAAGAGTGTTGGAGGAAGCCAGGCCGCATTGCGTCCCAAGAGCCCTTGTGTTGATTAATCCCGGAAACCCGACAGGTAACTTTTGTTGATTTTGCAAATTTAGTAAATTTTAAAACTGTTTTTAAGTAACACAGAAATGTCCATTCTCTGTTTTCTAGGACAGGTCTTGACATACGAAAACGTTCAAGAAATCGTCAGGTTTTGCGCTCGAGAGAAGCTAGTGTTATTCGCCGATGAAGTTTACCAAGCCAATATTCATGTCGATGGAGTTGAGTTTCACTCGTGTAAGAAAGTCTTGAGGGATATGGGAGCGGAGTATAGCAATTTTCAGCTGATCTCGCTTCATTCAGGCGCAAAGGGATATGCTGGAGAGTAAGTGTGCGATGTGGTTATTCTTTTTTGCTGCAATTCGAGTGCAGGGCTTAAAAGGTTTGTGTTTATATTTACCCCATTCAAGGCTTAAAACAGACTAGGAATAATTAGGGTTCACCTCATTTGACCTGAAACCTTTAGGGGAGCGAACCAATCTCTGGTCGTTCAAAGGGTGGAAAAACTATCAATATAATAATTCAGCGAATAAAAGTCTACCAAACAAACTTAACCTCTCCATTCATCGGAAAGTGATTTATCTGCTGGACAGTGTCACCCACCTGGAGGCGATCCATTAGTCAAGGGCTCAGAGCATACAAAAGAACACCAATCTTGACCAGAAGTTGTCACCCACAGGAGATATCACCAAAAATATGTCTTAAATTATACTGAAAATGTCAGCTCTCCAGGATTATGGGCGTGATATTCATAATTTCTATTTTCAAGACATTGTATAAATAATTTCTTTCAGATGTGGTCTTAGAGGTGGATACATAGAGCTTGTCGGGTTTAGTGAACAAGTCAAGGCTCGGATCAAAATGTACCTCAGTGCAAGATCTTGTTCCTCGACAATAGGACAGGTACAATAACAATAATGAAACGTTTATTCAAAACATGGCAACGTGTGTGGTATATACTAAAACAACTATTCACCTCAGTGTCAGTAATCTTTACCTCGCCGCTTTGTGACTCGGTAAACGTCCACCACCATTCACGTGCGAATATAATAATCGTTTTATCACGCTTCATTCAATCCTGAACTGTTGGATATTTGGAGCTACTTTCAGCCCGCAACAGTTGGAAAAATGCATTTCCATATGCGGTGACTCGGATTTGAGATAATAAACGGATTTGAAAGAACCAATCAGAACACTAGAAATGCAATATCCGGAGTTGAAAATTGCTGTTACTGTTATTATTGTCATTATCACTGCTTTGTTATGATGATCATCAATATTATCATAAATGCTCAGTAAAAACCTGATTACCCAACCATTATATTATTAATGTCGTCAATGACATTCGTTAAGGATGAGTGGGATGCTGTCTTTAGGCTGCAGCCCGCTTCCCTTCCAGGCACGTTCCCCCCTCCTTTCCAGGCACTCTCCCCCCTCTCTTCCAAGCACGCTCCCCTCCTCCCTTCCAGGCACGCTACCCCCCTCCCTTCCAGGCACGTTCCCGCTTCCTCTCCAGGCACGCTCCCCCCTCCCTTCCAGGCACGTTCCCCCCCTCCCTTCCAGGCACGCATCCCCTCCCTTCCAGGCACGTTCCCCCCTCCCTTCCAGGCACGCTTTCCCCCTTCCTTCCAGGCATGCTCCCCCCTCCCTTCCAGGCACGCTTTCCCCCTTCCTTCCAGGCATGCTCCCCCCTCCCTTCCAGGCACGCTTTCCCCCTTCCTTCCAGGCATGCTCCCCCCTCCCTTCCAGGCACGCTTTCCCCCTTCCTTCCAGGCATGCTCCCCCCTCCCTTCCAGGCACGCTCCCCCCTCCCTGATATGAAAGTTTCGCCATCCCAGTTCCTTTCTTCCATCCAACCCTATTATTCTTATTATCACATTCCAGTTTGTCTCCTTTTCCAAGGTGATCATGGGGCTCATTTGCAACCCTCCAAGGCCAGGAGATGAATCATATGATCGCTTTTCAAAGGTAAGCACTCTTCCGCCTTTATTTTGACGAATTGCATCTACTTACAAGCAAGCGTTCTTAAGAAAAGTTCCCTAACTCGAGTCACTTTAGTGTGAGGTGTCACGCAAGACGACAAGACAAACCAGAGGAACAAATTGGTTTTGCCAAACAATTGGAAACTTTCCCCTTACGCCTATAAAACTTTCGCCTATGTAATTTATTCATTTTCATCTATGTAAAAAAAAAAAAAAACTCACCCAGCTAAGGACTAATCAATTACTGATAATACTCTTACAGGATAATGAGACTTTTTCAGGACTTGCTTGTTATATACTTAGTCTTGAAATGAGTCGGAAAATTCCATCATTTTTCAAGAATCCTGTCAAGATTCTTTACGAACCATATAGAGGTTCTTATATCAGGCATGTTCATCTTGATTCAAAAAGTGTTTGACGAGAAAAGTGATTATGTTTTGTGCATGCGTTCGTTTCAAAGGAAAAAGAGACTGTTCTTAAATCTCATAAGAAGAAGGCAAAGTTGGCAACAGAAGTACTCAACTCCATGGAAGGGGTCAAATGTAATGAAGTAAGAGGAGCAGTGTACGCATTTCCGAGGATCACGTTGCCAAAAAAAGCTATAGAAGAAGCAAAGGTAACATTACCAGCTCTATGTTAGAATGCCCGTATGAGTTAAGACACGCCCAAGGGGGTCAGAATCACTTCCTTCTTAAAGCAAGTTCGAATTGCAAGTCAACATCACTGCAGCGCGTAGAGCGTATCCTATCACCGTGAAAAGTTATCACGACCGTAGCAGTAAGATGTTCAAAATAATGAATGGTGATGATCCTCACACTGCTGCAAAGGGCGAAGAGCAGAAAATTTGAATAACCGTCAAATAAGACAGAAGCTGGTTTGCTCCTCGTAAACATTTCCTGTTTCTAAGTAGGTTTACCTTGAGCTTCTTACCATTAGAATTAAATCTGGTTTTTATCTGCCCAACGAAGCAAGCATTTGTATTTTTCCTTCTAAGACAAAAGGACTGCCGCCAGACGAGTTCTATTGCTGGAAGGCTTTGGAGAAAACCGGAAGCTACTTTGTGCCAGGCCATGGTTTTGACATGAACGGGAGCAATAATCATTACTACTTCCGGTGAGATATGATACATATTGTGTTGCGTTAAGCGAAAACTTCATTGCGTTAAGCGAAAACTTCATTGCGTTAAGCGAAAACTTCATTGCGTTAAGCGAAAACTTCATTGCGTTGAAGCCTTCGCTGAGGCTCTCGGTCGCAGGAGACAATAGTCCTTTTTACAGTCGTGGGCTTGGCCACCAAGCCCACAACTGTAAAAAGGACTATTGAGGAATAGAGCGAGCTGCATGTTCCGCTCTCCCGCCTTTTTTCCGTTTTTCCTTTATTTTTCCCTTCAGATGGTCGTACACGACAGGTCTGCTCAGGTTGGTAGGCGGTCGCTGCTTGCTTCTGAAAATAAATTCAGACTTCGTGATAGCGCACGATGTACGAGCTATCGGACTTCTATGTGACGTGAAAGAATAGTTCCCTTTCGGAATCGGACTGAACTCACCTTTCCCTCCACGGATTTATTTTTTATTTCTTGCAGAATAACTATCCTTCCTTCTGAAGACAAGTTTATTGCAATGTTTGAAAGATTGAAAACTTTTCATCAAGAATTTATGACACAGTATAAAGACTAATAATAAAGACCAAACTGCGTTCTAAACAGTTTATACAACTTTTTTATGTGAACTTCAAATTGGCCGGGAATTGTTATTTTTACAAACTAATAAAGCTACATCTATAGGGGAATCCTTGTTTACAATATTTGCCTCGTTAGCATAAGCAATTCAGTTTCTGATGGAGCTAAAAATAAATCAGTTCAGAATATCGAAAGGTTAAAGTATGATTAACTCGGCCAATGAATACGAGCCTGATGCATTGAATACTTTTTGTGCAACACGGGTTTAGAAACTCAAAATTTTACATAGAATGTATGAGCTCATTGGCGCTTTTGCCACCCAGAAATTTTGCCGTTTTTTATGGACTATTTCTCCTTGAATATTACACCCAAAGAGCAAAAAATTTCACCATGTACTGAGGTGTTCAAGCTCTTTAGCCGCCTGAAGTCAATTTGTATCTAACATGCTTCCTTCTTTACTCAAAACCGTATGTAAATGAGCAAAAATGTAAAAATTAACGTCAGCATGAATCCGCCTATAGTCTGAAGGCAAATTTTCGTTAGTGTAGTATATCGTGCCTTGAAGGTACGACGGTTTTCGTAGAGAACCCGATCGGGTCCGAAGGCGTCACGAAAGTTCCGAAACCACCTCGTCTACTGATTACCCGAATCTTGTGACTCCATTTTCGAAGCGGTAAACACGAGACCACCAGTCATTATTTTTGGCCTGTGAGGCGGAGGAGGGGGGGATGGTTTGGAGGTAATATGATTTTTAGGGGGAGGGGAAGAGGAGATAAGTCTTCGCCAACACAGTATAAAGAAGGGACTATTCAAAGATGACTGCCAATGAGAGGGCATCATAACAACATTAGAGCCTTGAGGGGGATCAAGTCAATTTTATCATGACACAACAGTAACCGTCCCCCACCTCCCACTACCAGTGCCTAAGATTCTTCTAAAGGCTGGTGATGCGATCTGATGACAAGAGGGTAACAATACCGTCGAAAATTCTAAGTATCTTTACCAGTAACGCAAACGAACGGAACTGATGAATATTTCAGCATTTATTAAGCAGAATTCATATTATATTTACATTCACTACACTTGACGAGCGATCGTACTGGATTGTTCTATCTCGTATGTCATTTGAATAAGCAAGAGAATATTGAATAATTGCACGATATATTGGATTTATTATATCGTAAGACATAAAATAACTCAAAAACCCCCTTCCTAAATTCATTAGAACCCGTCTCTACTTAGTAGAGTCTTAAAATACCAAGGTTTCAGGTCTTTCAATTGCGGAGAACGATTAAAAATGTTAAAAACTTTCAGTGTTTTCTATTCACTTTTCTTTCCTCCTTACCTACAAAAAATGTTGTTTGGTTATTTTCTCATGCAACAACAACAAAACAAAACAATACAATAGAGGTTTTGCATGGCAGTCATGTTGCATGGCAGGAACAATGAAAATATTTTGCATAAGAAAATTTTTCCCCTGGGAAAAATAATCTATTGTTCTTGCCATGCACATGGCTGCTGTGCAAAACCTCTATCTCTATCTTAGGTCGCAGTCGCATGATGACTTTTCGTCAATTGGAGCTTAATTATGACTCAAAAAATTTGTCTCAGAAGACATTTTTACGCGACTGCCGATCCTTAGAACTTGAGTCTAATAGTTTTTACTGGAAAAGCTACTATGTATGATCTTGATGTCTGTACGTGTTAAACTGGTACTTGATATCAGTAAAGAGAAGTAGGTGGACGAATATCATCCGTGCGTGATCCTCGCCGTTCAACCGGCAAGCTGACTGTGCCACCAAGATCCTAGTGGCCCTTGAGTTTGTATTTTATGAATCTAGTCAGGTTTACCCTCGCAGCATCTATCACAGGGAAGTGGTCTCCCAAGGTTCTTCGTTCGGTCTTTATCTAAAGAAGAAACGAGTAAGAGGAAACTTTCAAGAAAATGTGCACACTTTCCATTGCGATTCCTAATAACATCTCTCAAGTAGCTACTTCCTATCAATTTAAGTTGATGTTGACGTTGTCACCATTTTTTGGAGCGGCTTGGAGTTGAGGGTTCGTTGAAATTTCCCGTTAATTTGAAAAAAATCTCTAACATTTGACACCTGAAAAACTAACACAAATGGTCATTCTCGGATCAAACAATCAAACTGCTCCTTACCCTACTCTTAAGGACTGGTACCAGCTGCACTAAGTTTGCCATAAGACCAACGGAATCTGCAGCAGTGTTGACAAGCGGTCCGTCCGCAAACGTATCAAAGACTGCGTCCAATGCTTCAGATATCAACCATAAACTGTGATCGCCGACAATGATGTCACGAAACACGATACCAAGGGACTGAAAGGACAACAGCATTCAAATTGACTTTGTAATCAGAATTTGAAATTAAGAAGGAAGACATGGAAGACAAACATGACTGAATCGACGAACTACGAAACAGTAAATTGCCCAGAAGTGGATACTCGTGAAGTCAGTTAGGTCGTGAAGGATTTTTTCAAACAAAATCTGATTGCAATGCATTAAATCTTAAAAGAGTTGCAATCGAAATATGTCACTCTTTACCTAAGAAAGACATTTTTAATTTCCTTGATTCTTGAAAACCGTTGCGTGCACACAGCGTCACCCCAGCTTCGAATGAGACAAGGCATCCTTAAAACGCAGCCTTGGGATATGATAGGTTTTATCTTCTTTTATAAGTTTAATGGCAAGAGTACCATATAACCCCATACATTAATTATGCATTCAGACTAGTAGACTTTGTTTTTAAAGTTTTGTCGTGAAAGACAAAGGAGTGGAATGCATAATTACTGTATGGGGTTATATGGTACTCTTTCCAGTTTAATTAATAGCTAAGCAGAATTAGATTTTTTTTCTTAAAAATTATGCTGAAGGAATTTGTAACCATGTATAAACAAAGTTATCAATCAATCAATCAAACACTAATTACGAGGTATAATGTTTGAAGGTGGGTTGGTACATGGTATTTTAGAGAGATTATTTAGATGATTTAGCACCTTCTGCTTTAGATAACCCGCTCGTTTGAATTGTTTTTGGGGTAAGATATCAACAGCTACATGTTAACAAAACTTTTTCGCACAATATACCGAATACTCCAAACGCTCAAAATGATAACTGAAGTTGAAAACCTAATATACCTTTAGAACCTCGAGAGTGTTGTCCCTTTTGGCGGCCATCTTGCCAATGAATCCCAGGATGCTTAGCAGTTTGACCTTGGCGGCTTCACACGACGTATCAGCCGTGATTCTACACAACGTTGTCACGTGTTCAGCTGTGATGCACTTGGAGAGATACGAGAACAAGACAGTCAACCAGTTGTAGGATTATCAAAGTCTAAGGGCGTAACTGAGGGAGGGGGAGTACCCACGAACCTCACTCAGGGAGGGGGGTATCAGCACGGCAATCATCACCCAGTACTCACTTGCGGCTCTTGTACAGAGGACATTTTATCCATTATTGATCGAAGGACTCCTGTGGCGGCTTCTAGGAAGTCTTCCTCGTGGGAAACAAACACTTTGGCTAGAATGGAGGGAGGAAGGAAATATGGAAGATGTCAAGGGAAGAATGTACTTCTACTAAGAATGCCGAGACTGGAGTTGCTAAGACAGTTATTTTAAGACAGAAGTGGTTATTTGGTGATAATTTAAGACAAAATTTGAGTTTTGATACTAAGTTTTGATCACATAGCCGAACGTTTGCTAATTTCTTTCTAATATACCCGAAAAAATATAAGGAAGCTTGCCCAAAGGCTTGCTTTTGACCGATTCTTTAATCGCACAATTGACAGCATTGTTCTTTTTTTGTACTTACTGTCCGCCGCAAACGTCAGAGAAAAAAGCGAATTCCAAAGCTGTCCCAGTGCTTCATCTCCTCCCAGTAGATCGGTATCCAAGGCTGACACAATATTGTTAAGGCAAATCAATGCCCTTGCTTGTACTGTGCTTAGTCTGGAAAGGAAAGGTTAACACAGAAAGTTTAACCTGGAACCAGAGATTCTGCCGAAATTGGTTCTAAACAGATTCAATTTTTAAATTTCGCGCCCCCTACAAAATTATGAAATTAATTCTGTCTGATTGAAGTACACGAGAGCGTTTTGAGACGAAAGTGAATGATAACAGTATGCTACTAAATTTCCCTTCTCAATTAAATTTAACAAACTTTGAACGACGATTTCACGCCTCGACACGCCTGTTTAAGCTTGAACAAACTGTAAAATGGCTTTTTCTTTCACGACGTTTGGATGAAAATAATCAAACCTTTGGCTTCCGCTACTGGTTCTTTAAAAGAAAAGCGAGACGATGTCATTGTGAGTACGGAATCGGCTCAAGGCTTCTGCGTTGAGATTTGACGACAAGCAAACGCATAAAGATGCTACGTAATAACGAATTTCTCATTCGCTCTAAGACAAAGGCGTGGGCCTATTTGTAGTTGTATCACTACAAATCACTTAACATCAGTAAATTAACCCTTCCACTCCCAAAATATCATTAGAAATTCTCGTTACTGTCTGTGATACAATTCTTATGATGTTGGTACTGGATCAACACATCTCCTAATTGATATTTTTTCTTTACTCTCATCACTTGTCTGCTTGACATTGTATTTATAAATGTAAGGAGAATTTCTGTCTTGGTCACTCCTGAGAGTGCAAGAGTTAAGGGTCTTACATGTGGAGCAGCTTCTCTCCGTCAGCGTGAGCACTCAAAGCTTCATACACAGTTGCTTCACCAAATGAACACTTAGAAAGAACCTGACGACAAAATTACATCATCAAGTGAGAAAGTAGCGATTGTTTTCAGTTTCGCACCTGATTGGTCGAGAGGATGACGCCAGTTTTTCGTCATTAAATCAAAGAGCGAAGTGGGAAAAACCAATTTATTTCCATATTCCTATCGATACTCAATTGAAAATGGCTCTACTCTAGAATAAAGTTTTAAAAAACCCTCAACCCTGCTCGTCGCTTTTGTAACCCTTTCCCCATAAGAGCAGGACATGGGAACAGCTGACGATAATGCTGCATCACTAGCAGCAAATTCAGTCAAAAGATAAGGCCATCCGAGGCAAACTCCATGAAGTTCTTACTTTTTTCTGAATTGACGGCCCTTGACATACCGGTACTATGTAGATCTTCGATCACAATTACTGTCCTAATCATATTGCCGTGTCCAGTTGAACTGCTTCAAAATCAAGTATTAACAGAAAACTTGTTCCTAAGGTAGACCTGTTATTATGACTAATGATTCAGCTTACCCTTTTTGGAACTTCTCGCGTAACAATCGCGTTGATCATTTCCGTGGATAAACTCTCTGGATTCTACAAAGAAACAAAAATACTCCTAATACAGAAATGTGAAGCATATTTTTAAAAGTTACCACACAGCGGCTAAGCTTTCTTCTCTGCCCAGTTTAGCTGAGAAAAATTCCCACAGTTTCTCGATGATCATTAGGGCACATCACAAAAACCTAACATTCTCAAGCGCAACGCCCACGGTTCTCCAAAAGACATACTCTTGCTTAAACTTCGGCAATTTCTCTTGTAATAAAATAAATTACATTTCATCGTCAAATTGTTTCGAAACGTGTTCTTTTTGTCATTTCTAGTTCAAGTCTTGCCCCCCCCCCCCAAGTCACCCCCCTCCCATTTCTCACCCCCTTATACCTGATGAACACCGCATAATGTCACTGAATAGGAGGATTTTGCGGGGATCGCATGGCTTGCAGGGGCACGGAGGGGGGTCAGCCGTCGCTAACAGAGTATAAAGGGGGGACTATAGCCAATTGACTGCCAACGGGGGGGGTTACTAGAATACTACAGAGCCTTTAAGGTGGAGGTCAGGTAAATTTTATATTGCGACACAACCAAAATCCTCCTACCCACCCCCTCCCCCAGCGATGAATAATGACAGGTTCCTAGCTGAGACCCACGCACGCACCTGTTTTGGCCAGAGAAAGAACTATTCCCCCCCCCCGACCCTACCCCACCCTGCCCAACACAAACATAAGGATAAAATCTAACCATATCGACATCATATTGAGCTGTCTCTTGTAGTCCTTCTTCTTCTTCTTCATCAGCCGAGTCCAAGCTGACACAGTCATCCACATCTTCCCATTCATCGTCATTAGAATCTACAAGGAGTAAAATATGTTCCGCAATAATTTACGAATAGAAAGGGCCAGATTGAAAAAGTAAACTTTGAAACCTATGGCCAGCGGCATGATAACCGTAATCGCTTGACCCAGAATTAAACCACTGACTTGGTTTACGTTGTGTGCGTGCGTACGTGTGTTTTTTCTTTCTAATACGCCGAACTGAAGGAACATACAGTAATCAATATGACTATCTGATAAGAACTATATCTAAGAATCATGACTGCCAGTTGAGGACACTAAAGAAGTAAGAAATAAAACAAAAGTTGAGTAAAAATACAAGCTGTGCGATAGAGGAAACAAGTATGACAAAAGTTTATATTTTTAAGCTACGATGTGCATATAAAAGGCAGTCCGCTCCACGTTCTTCACTCAAAGGTGTCGACAGATGCTTATAGTTGTTACGTCTCTTGAATGGCTACTCCGTAGCAACGACCCGAAATACAATGTAGGGAGGGGGAGAGAGGGGGTCCCAGCCTCCCACTTCCCGTACCACGTTTTCTCACCCCCCGTACTTTTGTACCCCTTTGCCTCCCGGCTCCATCGAAATACTTCCGTCTCCAGGTAAATAGAAATGACCAGAAACCCAGCTTTTTGACATGTTGTGTCAAAACGTATAATTCTTCACCATTCTCTAGCGTTGCATTTAGCCGTTATGATAGTGCCATTATCGTAAATTTTCCCGGAATGAAATGCTTGTATAGTTCTCTCCTTTTTTAACTTTCTGACCGTAGTTGGAACCTCTCGAACGAGTTACCAAATAAAGAACTGCCGATTGCGTGACGCAACAGGTCTACTCCCATCTTCGAACACTAATCTCCTTCGTTAAGTTACAGAAGTGTCGTGAAAGAAACTGTTGTGCTTCATCTGCCGGCACGTAAAACATTGCACGGCTTATAAAATATTATGTAAATACGCGGCCACATTTAATTGTGAATATTTCCACCCAACCGAGACGAAACTGAAAATCAAGCTTGGCGCCTCTGGTCTCCATTGTCATGTAAAGGCTCTGGTTTGAAATAAAAGGCGAGAAATCAAAGAAAGCGAAATTAACTGGCAAGCCTTTAGCCCTTCATTGCTGTCTCGGTTCGTTTTGATTTGTTTCGTTTTTCATACTATTCTATAAACAGTGGGTTTGTTTCATTACGTTACGTAATGAAATGAAAAATTTCGCAACTGCAAGGAGCCTAACAAAAAAAATTTGGCAATTTAACTGGATTTGAACGTGTGATCTCGTGATGCTGTTACGATGCTATAACCGATTGAGTTTACCATTTATTTCTCCAGATCTGATTATCAATTCTTCTCATTATCTGCTTTACATTTCCTTCCAACTCAGTAACGAGAATTCATTGTTCAATCAAGATAACAACTTCTACCTTTATGTTTAAGGTATTCTCATTACAAGTTTGTAGGATATTGTGTGGATATTATAGGGAGAAGTTACATGTCAATCACTTACGGGAATTAAAGGGTTACGTAACCAATAGTGTTAAGACCCGGTCAAATGAAGACTTGTGTGTTCTTTTATTGGTAATAAAATACATATACTTAAAGGGTAAAATTTCCGCTCAGGAAATGAGCCGTGAAAATTACCCAGACAGTGACGTTTATTTTTAGGTTAAAAGTTGCGTTACTTTTGTGTTCGCATTCCTCGAGGAAGTCACACCAGGATCAGTTCCCCCTCAAACCGAAAGTACATCAAACTCAAATTTCCGGATGATCGACAAATGGTAATGGAGAAATTCTGTTATAGACTCCTCTTCCTTTTCACAGCTATAGTGATTCTCACAAACGTATACTCTTCCTCAAATGACCAATGCAAGCCAGTTCGGTTCCTCGATAATCAAGATGCAACGGATAAAGAAGTTGAAGAGTACGTGAATTATTTCGCCCGGCCCACCATATCTAGTCCCTTGAAGCAGTATCTCCACAAACCGAGGACATTGTTCGCTTTGGCCAAAGCGGCTGAAATCGCTGTCGAGCATTACAGCGAGAATTCAAACAGAATCTTCCGACTTCGACAGATCCTCGATTTGAAAGAGCTAGGTCAAGGCACGCACTACTGGTTTCATGTTCTGGTTTTAGAAGGCGACAAATTTCTTACAGAGGCCTTCTTTGAGGTTCAAATCTCCAATCATTCGCATGCAGAGGAAAACTCAAACTGGAGCAACTTAAATTTTGGCGAATTCACAAAGATTCGACCGTATGAAGAAGAATGCGACCAACTAAGCAAACTTGCAAATTGTACCTGCCGTCATCACGGCAGGTGTGATAAAGGGACAGCTCGTATTTCGCCCTGGCTTGCATTTGCTCTCAAAACGCAAAGAGAGATTCAAATCAACCAGCCTTTTGATCAGATTCAAATGGTTTCCGCACACAATGCCTTCAATGACCGAGCCGATGGATATGGTTATGCAGACTGGTGCCCCTGGCCACCCCCCTACCAACATCTTTGTTTGGATTTAGCTAATCAAGAGTTCAGTTTTACAGATTTACTCAACATGGGGGTGCGGGGTATTGAAGTCGATCCATGGTGGTGCTTCGAAAAGATGTTGATGAGTCACGATGACAAGAAGGCATACCGGGGCTGTGCACCGTGGGACAGGGAATTTAAGGACGGCATAAAGGAAATTGGCCAGTGGGTGCATCAACCGGAAAATTCCCAGGAAGTCATTCGTATCTACTTTGAAGATGGCGCCAGTCACACCCAAGGCCATGACCAGTTGATCAATGGTCCAATAGCCGAATATCTGGGAGATAAAGTACTAACACCCTCTGAGTGCAAGAAATATTTTCAAGGCAGGTGGCCGACCATGAAAGAGCTGAGAGAAATCAACAAAACTATTGTCTTGGCTGGATTTGGGGACGAACATGGCGGCGAGTACATTTTTCCCGGATACTGGATTGAACAGACAAAAAACTCCTTCACTGCCAGACCTAACTGTTCAGCTATCAATCCCGATAAGCCCTCCAGAGTGTACTGCGACAGTACAGAATACCTTTTCTTTTGGAACGGCCCCAAAGAAACAGGTGTAATCCTGGACTTTTCTAGGTACATGAAGTGTGGAGTGACCTATCCCTCTGCAGATCAAGTCAACCCTACCATGCTTGCCACAGCTGTGTTCACATGGGCTGAAGGTGAACCATCCCAGCCCCTCACAGACACATCCTGCGTAGTGCTGGGAGGGAGGACCGAAAGATGGCATCTGTGCGGCTGTCAAGAAAATCATCTGTTTGCTTGTCAATCAAATAAAAATGCCAGCATCTGGGCGACAAGTGTCATGACAGGGCATTATGCCAAACCTGTGTGTCCTGATGGACACTCTTTCAGTATTCCTCATAATGGCCTTGAGCATCAGCAGTTGTTAAATGTTATGAAAGGAAGAGATGTGTGGGTGAACCTGACTCCATACATTCCCTCACTGATATGATGCTCTACAATCACACTCTTTCCATTTTTTTTATCTTTGAGGTGGTGGGGGGGGGCACATGTGCTAAAAAAGGCGGTGAGTCTTGTACTCACGCCCGCTACTTGCATGAAACAAATGACCACGCGGCCAAAATGGATTCCCGGGTGCAGTAGATAGTCTCAGGGGAAT